ATAATAATAATAATAATAATAATAATAAATTTGAAACATTGGAAAAGACAAAAATAACTTGCTATGGAAATTGCTTTATAGCATGATATATATTTTTTGAACTTGTTGGTTGTAATCATGCATGAGCTGAAATTGATAAGCAGTAGAATAATTTTCATTACTTGTTTAGGTCTATTTAGATTAGTTGGTATAAGTGTTTTTATATACCATTTGCACTGCACCCACTAGGAACTTGGGATTCTACCGCGTGTGTGAGACTTGGGATGGTTATCACATGTTGATAGGGTGACTTTGGAAATGAATTGACCAATACTTAGTAGACATAAACCCAAAAATTAATCCCCTATTGAAATAAGCTCATGTCTTAATTTTTTTTCTTTGCGGCCTATTTAACTTGAGCAATTAAGCCTGAGTGGTCTCTTAAAACCTGGTGCCTATGGTCAGCTAACTTGGATTAATCGGCCTAAAGCTCACTACGAGGTCATCTTAGTGCCTAATGTAGAAGAATTTGCAACTAAGATAAAAAAAATAATTAATGAGTTGGAAAAATGAGAAAAATGTAAAAAAAATATGAAAAGTGTGATGAGTTGAAAAATATGGAAACTTTAAAAAATATTAATGTTCAAATTAAGGGGTAGAAAATAAAAATAATAAGTATAGCTTCTGCTGTACTTTCATAATTTGACTTTCATAAGCAGAGGAATATACTTATTGGCAGTGATTGACTTGTCCCTTCTCAGAAAATTAAAGTTTAGAGTTCTGCTTGCATTGGAATAATGACATTTTACACACATGAGTCACTTGTACTTTCTACTCCATTCATACAGTTCTTGATATGATTCCCTTCAGCATTTGTGACAAAAAGGGAAAGAGAAATGTATATAACTGAGGAAGAAAACATGTAAAATAACATACACAGGAGAGCGACTGCATTGGCATGCACATGATTTCATTGATTGACATTACTTTCATTTTGCATTGCTAAGTCTTATAGGGGTCGTTGGGGAAAGACATAGATACATTGTGTTATTGCATTGAATTCACGAGAGTTCGAAGTAAGGGGGAGTATTACATTGCATTCCATATCATATCTATTGCTATTTGAGTTTTGATGTTTAGTGATATTGGTATTTCGGTTGGTGTTTTGATTGGCATCAATATCATGTCTCAAAGTAGCATGTTGATGTGTTTGCGTTTATGTGCTTTAATTTATATTTTCTGTATTACGTGCTTTTTACACTGGCATGTGAGTTTTTGGATTTCGGGAAATAGGTTCAACAAGGAATGTAAGACTTAATGATTCGGAATATTGGGTAGTTTAGATTTTTGACTGATTGTAATCCCTTGACTTAAATTTGTATAATTTTGTCACCGAATGCCAAAGGGGGAGATTGTTACGTCCAATATTGTAATTGGCAATGCTGTGAACAAAATTGACTAAATTGATCACTTGTAAAAGTCAAGGACTTAGTTGCAATTTTGAATAGATGAGGTAAATTAGCATTGGAGGCATTGAAAGAGTCCAAGAAGACCATGTATGACCATCAGAATGCAATTAGAAGTCTAAAGAATGTCAAAGAGTCGCACAAGTTATGTTCCAAATTCTCAGTCGTAACTTCCAATACATTTTTCACATAGAAAAAATTGGAATTTAGTCAAGGCTATTTAGAAGAATTGTAGCCCTTTGCGTTAGCTTTTTAACATAAGTTAAATCACCTTAATAAGACATCGAGAGAGAAAGTTATCGTGAAAACATTTATAACTAGTCAGCTGTCGCTCAATTCTCGTTGGCTTTTTGCCTGAGCAAAAAACAGAATGGCTCTAGCTCTATTCTTGCTGAATCCTCGCTTGAGCGACATTCTTATGCTACAAAATCGCTAGTTTTCATTTTTAAGAGTTTTACTCGACCCATACTACTAAAACACCTTCAAATATAAATACCCAAGCACTAGCACGAATTTTTGGGTGGTTGTTCATTGTGTCTCTCTTAGAAAATATATTCTTATAATCTTTTTGAAGATCCAAGAGCATGTCTAAGCATTGATTCATTTTATTTATTCTTGAGATTCAACAGCCACATATTGGGGAAAACATTAAAGGCCCGATAATCCAAAACACCTGTCTTCCTTAATCTCTCATTGGAGGATTGAGAGATATGGATTAAAGCGCAGTTACAAGTATAAGAATAGGCAGCTTAGCAGGAGGTAGACTTGGAGGTCTAGCAGGAGGCTAGAAGAATCTATAGCAGTAGGAGGCTACAGGAGGTAGATAGGGAATTCTAGTGCTAGAGATGTCTATAGCAATATATCGTAAGGCTATGGCAAAGGGTCTTAATGGGTACAAGGATAAGCTTGTAATTGTATTATCTGAATTGTCTATGGTGGAGGTAACTCGCTTAGTTCTGAAGTTTTACCCACATTGAGGTTTCTTCGTCCTCATATCTTGTGTTATTTATTGGTTTTTAAAATATTATTACTGTGGCATTCAAACATAGGATAATTGAATTGTTTTTTTTTTGACCACTTAGACATCTAATTAAAGTGACTTGTTGCTTTAACTAGTTTATTCCATACGTAAGGTTGAATAATTTGTAATCTGGAACATAAACTCGGTAAATCCTAAAAAATGTAGTGGTATTAGACCGTTCTAGATTCTTTCAGCCCTAATTGCTCTTGTTCAAGGCAACAAACCCTTTCCTTTCTCGCTCTCTTCCTCGGGAAATGACCGCGGTCACAATTTCTTGGCAACGTAAATCAGCTTATGTTGCCTACATTGTCACAGCTGCCACCAGGGAAGGAGTCACTTCAGACAATCAATTGCTTGACTCAGATATTATAGTGATTCTACCAGCACTTCTTTGCGCGCTGATCAGCACTTTGGGCCTTGTCTTAAATTTTGTAGTAATACTATGGGCACACCCGCTCTCCATCATCGTCTGTCTCTCCCCCACTGGCTCTGCCCTACGTGCCACCGGCACCTGTACACTCTGAGCCCTTTCTTTTCTCTCTCTCTCAGTATATTTTTACAGATTGATTGGTGATTTACAGATTTAGTATAAATTGTGATTTGTGAATTTTGATGAATGAATAATGAAATTAATGATGAATTTTCAAGGAGTTGTTGGGAATTTTATGAATTTGAATGGGAATGGATTTTATGAAACCATGGGTTTGTGTTGGTTTTGACTCTCAAGCCTTTGGATTTTAGTGGAGTGATGGGTGGGGAGAGGTTCATTGATGAGAAATGGAGGAAGCAGCAGACGTTGGAATTGGAGATTTTTTCAGATAGGTTGGAGTTGGTGCATGATCAGATTAAATGCAAGCACAGTTGGTGGAGAGCTCAAGTCCATGGTTTTTTCTAGTTTTTTCCCCCCCATTCCATTGTCTTTTTGTTGTTCATTTCATTATGCTTGTTTTCTTGGTCGTTATGTATGCTTCCACCAAGAGAGTGGCCAAGTATTTGAAGCCTTCTATTGCTGGATTCCTTATACAGAAGGTTAGCGGATTCATTAGGCTTGTTTAAGTTATGTATTCTGTGTCTGGTCGAAAGTTTGCTCATTTGAATATTTTGTCATGCATGAGTCAACATTTTGAAATGTAAAGTACCATTTTTTATATAGACTTTGGAATTATAAGACTTGCAGGTGTTATTAAAATATCTAACTCGATGGTTGGCACTTATTGCGTCACTGCATATTTCTTTATAGCATTATGGTTGTTGGACATTTATTGATGCTAACATTCCATTTTTCTTGAATCGCAGGTGCTCGACTACTTAGTTGGGGCTATTGCAAAAAAAAAAAAAGCATTACTACAATTGTTTGTGGCTCAAAGGGATCCGCCAAAATTGGCATGATTGTGTCATTGTTAGAGAAGGTTGACATACACATTCTTGATGGAGGAATGATCTTTAATTTCTATAAAGCCTAAGGCCATGCCTTGGGATCTTCATTTGTGGAAAATGACACGCTTAGTCTTTGTAACATCATTTATGGAGAAGGCAAGGTCTAAGGGGATCCCTCTTTCTACCTGCTGATGTTGCTGCTGACAAATTTGTTGCTAATGAAGATAGCAAGGTTGGTTTTCCACTCAACGGCATTTTGATAATGTTTTTGAGCTCTAGATGAGCCTTGTAACTGATTTATGTGCTTTTTGTAGCATAAATTTGACTTGCTATAATTCTGAAATAACTCACTGGCTAGCTAATGCAATAAATTGCTTACTTTGGTACTACATAATTATATGGAGAAAGATGGGAATGATTGCAGCTTCCAACAAGATGATTCTGTAGAGTAGTTACTGAAGTGTTACGCAACATTTTCGCTAGTTGTTCCAACACCTGTAATTTCTAATGGCCGGATGGGTTTAGTATTGAACTTCAAACTATCAAGTCATTTGAAAAAAAAAAACTCTAGATAATTTGGATGGACCTATGGGTACACTACAAAAAAAAAAAAAAAAAACTTTTTGCAACGTTCAAAAAACATTGCTAGTGACCTTTCGCAACGTTCAACCACATGTTGCAAATCTGGATGTTATCATAGAATAGAAGGATACGACAACATTTTTTAAATGTTGCAAAAAATCCTTTCGCAACGTTCAACCACATGTTGCAAATCTGGATGTTATCATAGAATAGAAGGATACGACAACATTTTTTAAATGTTGCAAAAAATCCTTTCGCTATGTTTTTTGTTTTTTCGAGCATTGCAAAAAATACTTTCACAACATTTTTTGAACATTGCAAAAAACCCCAACATTTTTTGAAGAAATAAAAATAAAAATAAAAATTCGCAACGTTTTTTCAACGTTGCAAAAAGCCATTTCGCAACATTTTTCGACCATTGCCGTAGGTTTTTTATTTTTTACAGCAATTTATGTAAGTTGACTATCAAAATTGAAAATGACTCCTTCTGAACAAATATTGGAATTGCATAAAAATTGATAATTTCATTACAAATTTTTGAATCCATACATTTGAACATTAGAATGTGATACAACACCACCTAAATAGAAAGGAGCTTCAAAGTGAAACAAAACTAGGAATAAAATTTTGGTACAGCTTAGGCATGAAGAGCTTATTGCCACACTTGCAATACCAAGCTTCCGGATAATACCCTAACGGCATGCTCAATCATATTGCCCTTCATGCACTCTTCGATTTGCTCGCCACACAATTCACGACGGCCAACAAAGCTGCAAGAGAAGCATTGAATCAATAAAAAAAAAGGTCTGTGTGTTTGAATTTCAATCAAATCATATATTATTTACGTTTTCTGCAATTTTATGGTCAGATGTCAGATCTAATCTCTTTTCATATTTATTGGCGAGATGTAAGAGAGTGTTCGATTTACATTAGCAGACATGTAAAGCAAGGTCGGCATAGAACCACTGGGTAGGTGATTTACAACATCATTAAGAACTCACTACATCAATTTTCCGATCTTAAACCACATCTATGAGTTACAAAAGGTATTAGTAAGATATCATGGATACATTAAAATCATATAGAGCAAACTAAGACTACATTACCTGGAAAGTGGCTCCATTGTGGACAATGTCCCGAACAGAAAGCGGCTTCATATCAGTAACTAGCAGCTTAAGCATCTCCTTTTGATTTTGAGAACACATAGTTCTGATTCCACCTACTAGTGCTTTTTCTTGGTAAGCTTTCTCTGCAGCAGTTACTACTCATTTGATGTCAATTCTTCCTTTCTTTTTTATGTGAGAACCCTAACAGGAATAACAACTCAAACTAATACACTTGCTGAACCAAACATGTTCTCTCCATCAATCAAAAACACAAAATGAAAAAGAAAACGCTAAGAAACCATGGAAATCAGCAAGACCATAACTTAGTGAAAATACGTAATCCAACAACTTAAGGGTCACCGAAATTATATTTAACAATTCTTGAAAAATCTGCAATTGCATCAGCAAGATAAGCTATTTAAAGAAGTTTAATTCTTATTTTAGCATCACCCCCTCAAAATTCAGACACGACATCAACCAATTTTATAAAACAAAATATATCTCAAAAAGTCAAAAAAAACTGTTACGCCAAGGCAACACGGACTAGCTTCAGCATATCCAAGCTCTGCCAATGGCTAATAAGGATCTCACAAAGCCCTGAAAAATTGGAAATGACAAGATCAACTAGAAAATTGAACAGCTTTAAAGCAACAACTAGAATATAGGGCAAATCAGTCGGCCATAATCAGGATACTGCTTTAAAGCAACATCAAAAACATAATTAGGATACTGCCATATAAATCACAAATCATGCCCATCTAATTACTAAAGCAACAACCAGAATATAGGGCAAATCAAAAGAACAAAAAATAAATAAGGAAAAATGAGTGTCAGGTTCAGGGAATCGATTCAGGGCTAAGGGCTTCGCCTTCTTCTTCAGTTCTTCTACTGCAGCCGAAGAATCACCAACATCGGCGGTCAGGACCGCATCTGCTTTTCTGCTACTGTAACCGTTGACGCTCAAATTGAACATACAGGATCAGACAGAGAGCAGGTGAGGCGAGTAGCAATGGAAAATGAGAAGTCTGGCTTTGGTAGGAGAAGGCGAGACAGAGGAGCTGAAACTGGAAGGAGTAGGCAGCGGTGGGGGTGGAGAAAGTACTGGATGGAATGGGATTGAATTTGAATGGATGGAAAGGATAGAAGTTGTTCATATGAATGGTAATTATGGTATTGGGCTAAGCAACAGTCCTCACTTTTTGGCTGGGCCTCGGCATTTGTATTGTTAAAAAAAAAAAAAATTGGACCTTTCACATCGTTTATCAAACGTTGTCAAAGATAAATATTTTGCTATGTTTGATAAACGTATGAAAAGATTTATCTTTCACAACATTTGATAAATGCTGCTAAAGGTTTCTCTTTTTACAATGTTTGATAAACGTTGCGAAAAAAGACCTTTTTGCAATGTTTATCATTTACAAAAAAAGCGTTGCAAAAAAGCAACAGTTGCTTAAAAAAATGGTGCTAAATCTCAATTATTAACATCAGTGGCAACATTCACTTATTAAAATGTTGCAATAGATCCCTTTAGTAACATTTAATTAATGAATGTTGGCTTTTGCGTGTTGCAAAAATGCATTTTTATCATAGTGCTATTTTTGAATTTGACAAGTTTTCCACAGGAACACGAGTATAATAAATAATAAGATAACTCATAACTGTAGATAAATTCTATTTTTTGTCGTGTTTTACCTGGATATTTGAAATCAAGTGCACGAATTGTTTATTCTTTTCCGTGCTATAGCTAAGAAAATTGGCAGAGCTTAGTGACAAGGGAGTGATATCAATCATTGGAGACTGTGACTTTGTTTCTACCATTGAAAAGTTTGGGTTGGCTGATAAGATGAGCCATATCTCTACTGAAGATGGTGTGAGCTTGGAACTTCTTGAGAGCAAACCCTTACCTGGGGTTCTTGCCCTTAATGATGCTTAAGTAGTGCTTTTCTTTGTCATGACTGGTTTTCAGCCAGACTAGCTGAATAAGCTAGACCTATGGGATGATGCTGTACATGCAAGGAAGATAAGCCATGAACATGGTTCACTTATGGTAAAAATGAAAGAGGTTAATGCATTTGAGCAAGAACTACTTTAGCATATTGATATGATAACACTTGCACATGAAGAGAATGATGCAGAATTGGAATCAGTGAGTCCGCAACTATTCTCTTTCTAGGCATGTATGCTTCTTTTCTGTTTATAGAGTTTCATAATGCTTTTATTTTTCTCAGGAAACTACTCATTTATATTATTTTGTTATTTTTTCCAAATTTCAACCGGTTTCAATAATGCCTTAACATTT